ATTGCAAAATTTCAAATCTGCTACAGTGTTGCCACAGTGCCTGCTACAGTGTCTGCTGACGTCTGCTACAGTTCCTGCTACAGTGTCGTCTTCTCCGGCGAACTGGTTTTCCCGGTCACTATTCCGGCAAACCTTTGACCGACGATTTGGACGTCTTCCGGTGGTCAAAAAATTCAGAAAAAAATATTTTCGGAATCTTCGGAACGAGACCTTTCCAACGGTATACACCAAAATCGTATTTGACGAAAAAAAAATTCGACCAAAAAACAGAAAATCACCCTCTGGAGCTAAACCAAGGCTCTGATACCACTTGTTAGGATCGAGACACTTAACACACGACTCTAAACACACACACAGCTCACGAAAAACAAGAACACAAGGATGAACATGAGGGATTTAACGTGGTTCGGTCCTTCTCTGACCTACGTCCACCGGTAACTAGGAATTTACATTTCTTGGTGCTAATCTGCACTCTTTCTGTGTTACACTAGATACAAGTTTTACAAATACAGATGAATCTCTTATATAGAGATGGAAATCAGAATTAGTCAAAAAACACAACCGGATCTTCAGCCAACCTTTGAAAAAACTTCACATTCAACAATTGTGGCTTCACATTCAACAATTGTGGCTTCACAACTTCACATTGTTCCTGCCATTTTTGACCAGCTGTGGCTTCACATTCAACATAATTGGGCCAAGGTATTCCAATCTGATGATTGTGGGCCCGTTAAGCATGCTAGTATGTTTGTTGTATGGGGTATTTTGGGGGAAACTCATTAAGCTTTGTGTTTACCCAGTTGTTCATGTTTCAGGTTCTCTTGGTGATCGTGGGAAGACAAATGCGGGACTTTACACATGCATCAATATCATTGGGGATTCAGCGTTATTTACATTACACTGATTTTCGATAAATGTAATTTGTAATAAATGTTTTTCTTAAAATGGATTTATAATTGGGAAGTTTTACCTTAATAAAAATGAAAATTTTTTGTTGTGAAAATGGGACGTTACAAAGATGATCATTAATGATTGTGTGCGGACCATGAAGGAAGTAGGAATATAACATGTGATTAGACTTTGAAGGGTGTAGAGGCTGACATTCAGTATAGTAGAGTACTATATGAGTAGTTTAGGTCTTAGTTGCATTTCCATTGTTTGTGATTTTCGTACAATAATATTTGCTTACTCTTGTTCATTATTTACTTCTACCATTTATTACTAATATCTATTTTATGCTTTATTTTTCCCCTCCCTTGTTTTAGTCACCAATGTGGGCGTGTTTAACATATGTTGAAGGTCTTATATGGTAGGAACATCTCTACCCTTAGGTAGAGGTACATCTTACTTCCCCTTAATTGATTCATATGGAATTGGGCTTTGTTGTTGTCGTTGTTATAGAACACTATGGATCAATATTTGGTCGGTTCCACCACCCTCGTAGTAAGCAAGATAACATGCAATTAGACTTATAAGTAAGCGTGCATCTTGTATAAATAAGAACCAACACCAAACTCCTCTAAACCCAAGCCTCAATTTCTTATATCCCTTTCTGACCTCTATTTAATTTCTCATATCCCTTTCCTACCTCTATTTTTTTAGATTGATGCATTTTTCGGAACTTGGACTATCATTGATTATTTGGAATTGATAATATTTTCCCGGATCAAAAGGTGTTGTTAGGCGTGTCAAACCCAACAAATAAAGGGTACAAATGACTACTTAAACACTACTATTATGCACTAAAAACGTAGTACAAGGTAAGTAGGGTCGATCCACAGAGACACGGGACAAGTGTTTATACCTTTTTGTGTAAGGTACAAAAATGGTCACAGAATGGGGGGAATTTATAAGCAATGATTTAAACTATAGAATAAAGCAATAAGTAAATGATTGATTAAGTGAAATAAGTTCAAGATTTGTAAGTACTCCAACTCTATGCAAGACAAATTAACAATGTGATTCCATGGATGACAAGATATTGTTTAATTCTATCTAAGTTGGTACTTGAAAGTGTTAACAAGCTCTAACACTTCCCATTCACCACAATAATTAACCAAAACAAGCTCTTTGATTAATCCTAACCTTATTAACCTAATCTAAACAAGCTCTTAGAATTAGATTGAAAGGTTGCTTTAAACTTTATGTGAATGTTCCCAACAACACTCAATACTCCTCACAAGCTCGGGAGTGTAAAAGTGTATGAAAAGATTTACACTAAATTCATTCAATAGAAATCAAATTAGTGCTTGTTACCTAGTCCAATTTACAAAACAATTACGGATTTTGCAATTAGATAACTTGAATGATCTAACCCTAATTCAAATGGCCAATAAGAATCACAATTAGAATCAAACATTCGATTGAGACAAAATCAAATTCACTAGATAGAAAATTGAAAGCAAACATCAAGTCATATGATTGAAATCACAACTAAGAAGTGAAGACATGAAGTTGGAGAAGCTAGGGTTCTAGCCAATCATGGCTAGAACAAGATCACAAATCTAGAAAATGAAATTAAAGTTCTTACAAAATGAAATCAAATGTTCCCAAGTGTTAATCAACTTCAAAATCCTCAAGAAAATCGCTTTCTCTGCTCCAAAAGTCGACCCCCCCAAAGTAAAAAGTCAGTTCCCACCTTTAAAAATGGTGAAAAACTGCTTTAAAACCCGCATTTACGTTTACACGGCCCGCGTAAATTAACACTGTCATTTACACGGCCCGCGTAAACGCAAAAATATACTGTGCAGAAATCTACGTTTACACGGCCGTGTAAACGCAAGGCTTCCATTTACACGGCCGTGTAAACGTCTGTAAAGCCAAAATCTTCATTTCTTTGATATCTTGCTCCTCGGTGCTCCGCAAGTCCTGAAATTTTGTCCGCAACTTTTATTTACCTCCTCCAACAATATCCTACCTCCAAAAGTCCCTAAAATATCACAAAAGTATGTGAATGAAATTGCCTCATGAAAAATCCCGAAAAACATGCAAAATGCATGAGTTTAAGCCTATATGCAATGTACTTTTATGAAATAAAGCTACAAAATGGGTACATGAAATGCACCTAACAGGTGTTTATTAGGACGTAAACATATATTATGGGTATGGTTGTAAACAAACCGAACAAACACAAATGGAGGCTTGTTCGTGTTTGTTCGTTTAAATTTAAACATTAAATGAACGAACACGAACAATTAAATAAACACATTTGTATGTTCACGTTCGTTCGTTCAGAATTTTAGTGTGTTTGTGTTTGTTCATTTAGTTGATAAAAAAACATAAACGAACACAAACGAACATAAACAAATGAAGACAAATGAACTTAAATGATCATAAAGTCATAAGCGAACCTAAATGAATGCAAATAAACATAAGCAAACAAACACATACAAACACGTGTGTGTCTATATATATATATATATATATATATATATATATATATATATATATATATATATATATATATATATATATATATATATATATATATATATATATATATATATATATATATAGGGGAAATGACACAAATGCCCTACGAACTTTCTAGGCTTTACCCGTTGAGTCGTTAAAGTTTTTGTCGGGCTTTATGGGTCCCTAAACTAGGATACGACCTGCTCTTTTAGTCATTGTAAACCTGTAATAGCCAGTACATCATGCGACAATGACCATTTAGACCAAAAAAACTCACATTGTGCCCTAGAAAGCCAACAATATAAGTTTGGGGATCAAAATTCTTATGCCACAAGATCGAAGGGATTTGGGAGAAGAATGAAAGATAGCAGCCCATTCGATTTCTTGTGTGTCTTCGTGTATACCAGCATCCAACAATAAAAATCGACATTATTAGCTTTCCTTCTTTTCTTCTAAAGCCGATTCACGCTCAATTCGTACCCTCCCAAGAAATCGATCCTTTCTCTTCTTTCCGTCTTGACCCTCGATCGTCACACACACTCACTGAAGATTACATCCATATTCCCCTTCTAATTGATTCTCGATCACATCCCCCTTCCACTCTTTTCTTTGATTTGATTTCAGCTCTTCAAGGAATTGACCCCCTCCTTCTTTCTTCTCTGTTCAAAATTGCACAAGATACCTCTCATTCTCACTCCGAGTTGCGGGTTTGATGGATGCGAGGTTGAGAAGGATGTGTGGGTTTGATGAGGTTCACAGAGAAAACGAGAGTTAATCTCTTTTTTTTTCGATTTGCAGGTGATTGGTTATGGTGGCTGACTGGTGATTTTTGTAGGTTATGGGTGCTCCGGTGGTGGCTGATTTCATGAGACAAAGGAAAGGAATAAGGGTAGTTGGATTGGGCTGTTGTGATATTGATTCGATGGTGTGTAAGGTGGGTTCCGATTGTTGTATTGGCTGAATAAAATGTTGATGAGCAGTTGGTTCAGGTAGGGTGGTGGGTTGACGGAGGAGGTTGTGAGGAAGGAGGAATAAGGGTGGTATTGGGTGGAGATGAAGGTGAGACTAACATTTGATCCCTGAACTTATTTTTTGGGCTTTATAGGGGCACAATGTGAGTTATTTTTGGTCTAAATGGTCACTGTCGCATGGTGAACCGGCTATTACAGGTTGACAGGGACTAAAAATGCAGGTCGTATCCTAGTTTAGTGTCCTATAAAACCCGACAAAAACTTTAGGGACTCAACTAATGTTCAATAGCATAAATGAATGTTCCCATATATATATATATATATATATATATATATATATATATATATATATATATATACACACGTATGTTCATGAACGTAAATGAACGAACGAGAGCGTCGTTTGTGTTCGCTCGTTTAATTAAACGAATGAAATACCATGCACATGTACGTTCGTTTATCAAAATAAACAAACATAAATAAATTTCTCACCGAACGGTTCGTTGAATGTTCAGGTCGTTAATTTACAGCCTAACTATGGTAATCAACTCATCAAAAAAATGGTGTTAGAGATCACTACCGGAGAACCAACGGTTTAGATTCCATGAAGAGATCATGATACCATCCTACATTCCGTATTCCCAACGACAGACCACAGTTGATTTTGCATGGACGACTAAAGTGGATCATATTTTGTTATGCAGTCACGTATATATCTCATATAGGCATAGTACCCTACATCTTTAACATTATGCTTACAAGAATATTTATGCTGATGTTGTGTCTTTCTTTTGTCTTTGTCCATTTGCATAAACATGCCAAAGACATAAAACAAAATGACACGAGGGATGAGCATAACATGTGCCAAGTTATAAGTGGTAAACACTAACCTTCCAGTTGTCATGCTATTCACTAAACGATGACCAAATTATATGTCGATTTGATGATGTGTGTATTTTGTTAATACTAATGAATCACAGAAATCTTTAACTTGATCACATAATATAATTCCACATATATATATATATATATATATATATATATATATATATATATATATATATATATATATATATATATATATATATATATATATATATATATATATATATATATATATATATATATATATATATATATATATATATATATATATATCAGTGTTGTAAAAATCCCGATTAATCTCCGATTAATCCCTAGGCGCTACTCGACCGATTAGAAGGCCTAGCGATTAATCCCTGCATACACAATGACTGAAACAGTACAACCCGATGAAATTTTAACACTTTGAAGAAGTTATATATCTCAACAAAAACTATTTGAGGTATGATTAGTGTTGTATTTATCATAGTAACCTATTCTGTTATGATATTAGTGGTATTTACGAACTTTTATATGATATTAGTCATATTTAATTTTTTAAAATCTAACAAATTAGCAATTAATGGTCCCCGATTAATCTCCGCCTAACCGATTAATCCTTTAACCCCTGTCCACCGACTAGCTAACGTCAAACGATTTTTACAACATTGATATATATATATATATATATATATATTATATATATATATATATATATATATATATATATATATATACACTACTAGAAACTTGAGTTTCAGCTACGGATTGTGCTACAGATTTATTCTCTAGCAAAATTTAGATTTATAGCTAGGGAAATACGACAGATCTACCATGTTTTTAATAATTATTTTATTTATTTAATATATGGAATATTAGTGAGGATTTACCAAGGAATCAGCTACGGATGTCGCAAGTATTTAACTATGCACCACTATTCCTCGCTAATCACTCGAAAAATGAAGGCACTTAGCTAGGGTTCAGCGAGAAAAATGAAGGCCCTTAGCTAGGGTTCAGCGAGGGATAAAAAATTGTGCCATCTGGTATACGTTTAGCGAGAGAACGATGACGGAAACTTTATTTGGGGTACGCACGTTTTCTTTTTTCTCTCGCTGAAATTGGCACACCCAGTTCCATCTTCAAGAAGGCGGTGTAACTTTCCTTCCCTCCAGCTTTATCACTCTTGACTAAGTGTAATTAGGTTCTGCTTCACCATCTCTGTTCGAACAGATGACGCCGCTACTCACCCGATTCCGGCAACCTCCATATCTTTACAATCTGAAAGTATTCTTCGTTAACCTCCGATTCAGGTAAATCTCATCCCTCTTAGGTTAGTTTTAGTTCAATTTCACAATATACTTCGTTAGGGTTTAATTTACATTGAAACTTTCTGGTTATTGTGTTTCGTAGCCATATGAAATGCCTTCTTCATTATCTACAAGTTAGTTTCAGGTCTACCATCGATTGCATCTATATAAGAATAGACACTTAGAATTAGAACTTGAGTTAGGGCTTGATTCATCATAGTTTGTCTTCCGGTTTATGAGAATTTAAGGATTCAGGAACCCTTACATTTTTAGGTTTTCCCCAATTCTCTTTCATATTTAGGAGGTGGCAACGTGAATTTGAGAAGAAACAAGTGACTTATCCTTCATTATAACAAAGGGGATGTTCGTTTTCTTACTTAATGGGTACTTAATATGGACACCTAATGACTGATTTTAGTTTTCTTTTTGTGGTCTAGAATTGTATACAAATCAATAAACCCTAGCCCTAAATCAATCATAGGGTAAAAGAGAAAAGAAGGTAAAAATGTTGCTTACCACTACTATTAGAAATATTCATGTTGCTTATTATTCTAATAAAACAATAACTAGTAACTGATAGTATATCAACTTGAAATTGGAATCTTTTTATGTATCAAGAAAGAAAGAAAATAAAAGGGGACAATTGCTTACAGCTGACAATCCCAAGACTTGATGTTGCTCAGGGAAAATTTCACATGCGTATATTCACAGGAAGTTTAAAATCAAAAACTTTGTAACTTTTAACATTTTTAAGATACTAAATATACCTTGCGAATTTCATGGTTTCTGTATAAAGCTATACTTGTTCCTTTGGGTGCCAACCCATATTTATGCACATCTGTTGATATAGAGGTTACTCCTTGGACAGAAAAAATGCGTATATTCACATCTGTTGCGAATTACATTACTATTACGATTAACCACTTTCAACTTTTCAAGTACAACATACTAATAATATTGGGTAGCTTTTACAAGTCCTTAAATATTGGGGTGTCATAAAACTAATAATATTGTCCTAAGATGCATAGTTGATTGGTTGGTCCATAAGTTTTTCATGCCCCGGACGAAAAATATGTAATAAATGCATAGTTGATTGTTTGTTTGGGACTTTACACTTCAATAAAAGACCCATCTCTTGAGTTCTGATTTTATTATAAATTTTCTACTCTTACACATTATTTCAAATTCCATTGATATTTTGACCAAAGAGTGGTTTTAGAAGAAAACTTGAATATACAACACAAGTTGATGACGTTTTACCACCTAAAATCCAAATCCAGAAATTATTTGTACTTTTATGTATAAAAAGTTGTGGCTTTATCATAAATGAATCTTATTTATTACAAAAATGTAACTTTGAAAAAGCTATTTTAACCCGTATATGAAATTCCTAAATTGCCCTTAGGATAATGAAAGGTCGGATTCACTATTGAATTCCCCTTTTTGATGTTGCATCATTGTAATTAGTACCTTTGCATAAGTTTGATCCTAAAATGGATTGTTAAATTAGTGTTGCCTCCATATGAATTTATTCCAAACTCTGCAAAACTTGTTGACTTGAAGGCCTATCTTTACGATCCATGTGAAAGCACCTTCTAAGGGGTAATTTTGTCCATTATCTTCTTTAGCTTCATTATGTCTGTTAGGAATGGGGTTGCCCATTTTACCAAACTAAAATCGTGTATATCTCTCTTAGTTTTATTTTGTATATTCTCTTAGTTTTAGGAATCAGGGACCATAATTGATGTGATCATGTGAAACCTTCAAATAAGGACTAAAGTTGAAAAACTTTTGATTCTGGAACTAAACACAGTAAAAATGAGAAACCATATCGACCATTTTTGTAATTACCTTTAGAATCATTTTAACTTTCAGTTCCTTTTTTCTCTGTGTGCTCTTGTGGCTTAGAATTTTTTAAAGTTGCAACTTTTAAAAAGCTTTTGCTGATCTTTATGAGTTTTGGACATTTACAGCCTCTTTTTCCTGGTGACAGTGGTGTAGATCAGCTAGTAGAGATTATCAAGGTACGTTCTGCTCTGTTATTTTTTTTATATCTTTTGGTGCCTTCATATAAGAATAGACACTGTTTTTATATCTTTTTTATGCTAGTTGAATTTAACAGGTTAATTGAAAACTAGATGATAGTTTGAGGATTAGATGTTGTAATAAGAAGAAAAGAAGGATGCAACAATAAACAAATAAATGGGCGTATGTTGCTATATCTTGCATTTAACCCCAACTCCCAATTCAAATCATATGAATAACATTTTACAAAATAACATATAAAAATGCAGATTTTTTTTAAAGATGTTAACATCTAAAAATAAATAATGACGAGCTTTTAGTTTTGTTTCTCCTAGTTACCTCAAAAAAATTCAAGGGTTTTGACATCTAAATTTTTTTTAAAATAAAATTGCAATTTTTAAGAGCTTCTTCCTTTGTATATTTTCTTTTAACTATATATAAAGCAATAAAACAAACTTTGATTTATGGACTTATATAATTATATATCGCAATAATCTATTTTAAGAGTTTCTTCCAATTTAAAATTTTTATAAACCATGAATAACCATAAGATTTATATATAGTGGGAACTAGTCAAAAACTCAAAATTATGTCTTGATTGAAATTTCATACAATCATGCATTGAAAATTTAAATTATCCATGAATAACCATAAAGACTAAGCATATCACAAATAAAATTGTAATTAAACACACTAAAATTGAAATCAGAAATACAAGTTTTTTAGAACAAATAAGTAGAGTACCATTACCATGTTGGCTTTGTCTGTGAAGAAAAAGAGGCTGCAGGCTTGACATAAGTAAACCCCTGAAAGAGGTCAAATGAGCCATTTCAGTAGGGGCATATCCGTCCAACATTTGTCAAAGTTAGCAATGCATTGATTTCCAGAAACTTCCGGACGAAAACTCGGCTGGATTTCACGTGCATCCAGTTTCTTCCAGTTTATGATTCTTTATTTCATCGCTTCCTGTTACCCCCATTGACTAGCCTCTTGCTTGGATCCTTTTGTAGCAACTAAAAAAAATATAAAAAAAATAAATTTTTTATGTGGTCAAACATGGTCAAGATTCAATTTTTTTTTTAGAAAATAAATACACTTACCCCTTTCAAAAGGGCGTGTGCTTCACTTGACAAAAATGCAGGGAGCTTCATCTTGTCTTTCACTATCTTTTTCTGTACTTTGTCCTTGTTTCCTCCATGAAACGGTGGCTGTTCAAGATTAAATTAGACTTGATAAGGGCAAAACGGTCATTTCACTAGGAAAATTTCACCAATAAGAAAATCACAATCACCTGTCCTATGAGCATCTCAAACAACAAGATTCCAACACTCCACCAATCAGCAGCCTTGTCATGGCCTTTACCAAGAATAATTTCAGGTGACATGCATTTTCATCAAACTCTTTTGCTAGCCCAAAATCCGTAAGTAAAGCCTAAATAAATAAACTCACATGTTTATTAAAAGAACTGTGTCATCATCATGTGGGACCCATCAAGAGAGTGGACAAAGTTAGGAGGAAAGGCTGTTCTTTGTCAAAATTTTATATTTTTATAAGATAAGATTATACATTTATTGATTTTATAAATTTTGACAGGTTATAACAGTGAAAAACAATCCAGTACAATGGACAACTCCTCTTGGACTTCCTGTTGTTCAACCATACCGCAAGTTAGGAAGGCATCTTGTGAGTTCTTTTAGTATGTCAAATTGTGAAATCAAGTCCCTGTATTTTGGCTTTTTTGCTAATACGAACCAAAACTTTTTGAAATGTGTAGATTAAGACATCTCTTCAAGTTTTGACATTACAACGAGAAACCGATAAGGTTATATCCATAACCTTTTCTTTATTATGCTAAATGCAAGAAATAACGTTTTTTTTTTACTTTTTTTTATTATCACAGGTGATGGTGAAAAGACAAAGAACAACCTTTCCTCCTAACTTTGTCCACTCTCTTGATGGGTCCCACATGATGATGACAGCCATTGCTTGTAAAGAGGCTTGCTTAAGTTTTCAGGTTCAAAATCATTATTATTTCATATTTTTTTTATGCAGTGGTTCATTCCATTCCTTGATTATGATTTTAATTGAATGGAATGAACCATTCCATTCCTTCTTTCATGTTTATGTTTTTTTCATGTTTTTTTTTTCTATAACAGGAGGCTTATGAAAGTGCTATGGTGGCTAAGTTTGGTGATGATACTAGTTGCCAACCCCTCTTGGATAATGAAACATGGTGTGATGTTTCCGGAGGAGTCAAGAAAGGAAGAATATATGGATTCGGATCTGTGTCTGATCCAGCGAGCTTTTTGGAAGGAACATCTAGTACAATAACATCCCAAGAGGTTCGTTTAATTGTGTACTTTATAAAAATTTCCTATCATAGCATTGTACTTACAAAGTTTCATATCATGGCATTGTACTTACAAAGTTTCCTATCATAGTATTGTAATTACAAAGTTTCCTATCATGGCATTGTACTTTAGGTTGTCTATGAATGTATACGAAACGAGATGCGTGGGGAAATGGATGCTAAAGCTGCAGAAATGGAAGCTAAACATCAACAAATGCGTGAGGAAATGGATGCCAAAGCTGCAGCAATAGATGCCAAACAACAACAAATTGATGCAAAATATGAAGCAATGGAGAAGATGTATGCAGCCTTGCAAAATATGATGGGAAATTGAAAATTAGAGGTAATATGATGTTAACCATTAGTATTTGATGTTTTTGAATGACTTGTTAACCTTTTGTATTTGATGTTTTTGATTGTTTTGAATAATGTTTTATAGGAATGAGAACCGAAGATGATTGGATGGACATGAAATGAAGAGAGCAACTAAAATGTTATTTTGAAGTTAAGTTTTGTGAAAACTCATTTCCCGATGCTTATTTTGAAGGTTAAACTTTTTTCTGTTTGTACATCTTTTGCATACTTTGGATTTCTTGGTGTTAAAATGTTGTCAATCGATGGGAGTTTGATGTTATGTGGACAGTTCTTAACCGTTGGTAAACTTTGATAGTTTTGGTATTATAATGTTTGGTTGTATCATTATTTGATGTTTTTTTAGTATAATAGTTTGATGATTGTAGTATTTTTTCTTTTAGAATCATAATACAAACAATGATATTCCATGTTTGCGACGGATTAGTGACAAAAAAACAAATAAATAATGCATGATTTTGTGAGGGATTAGCTACGGAAAAAAAATCATGTCTAAAGTTTGCGACGAATCAGTGACGGAAAAAAAAAAAGTTAATGTATGAATTTTGCAAGGGATTAGCTATGAAAAAAAATCATGTCTAAAATTTGCGACAAATTAGCGACGGAAAAAAAATTATTGTATGAATTTTGCAAGGGATTAGCTACGGAAAAAAAAGCTGATCAAAGAAATTTGCGACAGAACAGCGACGGAATGACTTTAACAAATTTTGTCGCTGATGCCCTGAGTAAATGCATTGAGTGACATGTAGCGACGGATATTCCGTCGCTACATTTGTCGCAGAAAAACCGATCCGTCGCTAAAACCCTCGCTGGGAAATTAGCCACGTTTTAATTACCTATGGAGTGAATCCGTCGCTGATCCATCGCAAACAACATTTAGCGACGGATTCTTCTGTCTCTAAAACCCGTGTTTCTAGTATATATATATATATATATATATATATATATATATATATATATATATATATATATATAGAGAGAGAGAGAGAGAGAGAGAGAGAGAGAGAGAGTCAACATATGAAGAACATATCATCAACTCAATTCTCAAAGGTATAATAAAGGTATAATATAGCGAATCAAAGACTGCTGTAGTGATTGGCTATTTAACTACTTAATTTAACAATAAATACCTACAAAAAGATTGGATCCACAATCTCTCATTCCTTGAATTGCTTCGATATGTGAGATATGATATCCCTCTAAAGTTCAATAGCATAATTCATTCCGGAAATTCATCGAACACTTTGTCTGCATATGCATTTAAATTTTTGTTTAGACTACTCTATTTATGACAAAAATAGTGGACGTTTAAAGATTGTACATTGCTACCATCCGGAAGAAAGTAGGAAACCACATGACACTAAGTAAGCCATTAGCAGTCGGAAAATCCAAATAGACACTTCAGAACAGTCATATGTATCTATTCATTGGCCACCGAACTCCATATTCAACTGTTCTTGGAAGCTTTTGATATTCAACTGCTAAGAGATGCTTGAGAAAATTCAAAATCTTACTGGGTTGAACATTTTAAGAGACCTCAAATATCATCGAAACAAATGTAGAGGCATACACACCGTAGGGGAGATAACAGCATAATGAACAACAAGAACTGAAGAACAAATAGTTGACGTTCAAAGTATGATGTAGCAGCAAAAATGTTTTCCAAGTTACCTTGGCTGCTAAAACAATTTTTGTAGCTTTTTTAGTGTTGTCATTATCAAAATGTCCAGGGTCTATTTTGTAACATCCTGTGTTTCTAGACTCTAGTGGTTATTATCCGCCACGTGTAATGGGCCCGTCCCATATGGGCCACTAAAACATAACTACAAAAGCTTAGTTTTTAGCTTTTGTTTAGATACTTAGATATTGAATGATCCCTAAATTTGGGAAAATTAGCAAAAAAAAAAAAAAAATGTAGCTTTTGTTTATATAAAAATGTTTTTCAAACTTAATAGTAAGTATTTATATAAAATGTTGTATAATAGGAAATTCAAAGTTAAAAGCTCCGGAAAATATCAAAAGAAAAAAAAAATCTGACGTAATTTTTAGATTGTACAATTTTGGTTTAAAATAAAAATTTTAAACTCAAACTTCGAACGATTTTTTTTAATTCAAAATCAAATATTCTTAAAGCTCGTTGCTGAACATACTCGTAATGGGTAAAAATGCAGAAGCACCAAACCCGTCGGGTCAAAGTTAGGTCAATGCTAGTATGGAGAAACCATGTCGGGCCCAGGTTGAAAAGTCGGGTTGTTTACAGCATGTTGCTTGGTCTAAAAAACCTTGGTCCAGATCCTTAAAAACCAGATAATTTACTATGATGAAAATTATATGTTTTATCTTCAATTTTTTGATGTATAACATTACGCATTCCTTTTGACATATGTAATTATTGTTATTAATAGCTTAACAAATCTTTTTCCTTTCACAATTAATCATCGGATGGAAGTTTTATGTTGATATAATGAGGAACTTGATTGACACTAAGATAACCACCCCCTATGTCCACTCCAATGGTATGGATTAGTATTGTCCCAAATAAAGTTTCTATTTTCATGTGGAGAGCAGGCTTGGATCGTATACCTACTTACTCAGACTTGAGACGCAGAGTTGCAAATATTACCTCTTAGGCTTCCCCCCTTTGCCTCGATGAGATTGAAACTACAGATCATCTTCTTGCCACTTGTTCATTCACTCAAATATTCACATTGTGTTGTATCCCGATTCAAAGGCGTTCAAATATACACGAATATATTAATTTTGCAGCTAGTTGGGGTCATTAATCAAAGATAAAAAAAAAAGATATTACTAGCATTTCATAATATCTTTTCCCAGCCCTAGCCACTTGCTGGGTTGTGTTTAATAAATTGCCGGTTCAAAAAAATGTTTGGATTATTTCAGCGTTTATCAAAATTAGGTAGCATATAAAATATAATTTTGTATGGAACTTATAATCTAACAAACCTGTCCGTGACATAGACTTTCACCCATTAATGCCATTTGTTGATAAACTCATTAATGTGATATGTTGATTTGAATCTTTGAATAGTTAATGTGATCTCCACATCCTTTTCCACCAACAAACAATTTGTTCTTTTACCTGATAAATACAATTTTAAATATATCAATTTTCATTAGCAAAGATTCTCGAAACAGTATTTGAAATGTCGTATGTTGTTTGTTTCTTCTCACGTTTGTAGTAAATGATTGGATGTATCAAAATGGATTTAGAGCCAGGAGCCCAGGACCTTCAAGGTACTTCGAAAAAGGCTTCACCTCACGTACAGATACGTGTCCTTTAATATATCAAAGGCGACAATGAAATTCTTTATAACCCCAAGTGTTGTATTTATTCTTGCTCAAACAGTCAAACTAGTAATGATGGATAGTATTTTTTATTGTACAAAAAACTTTATACAACAAAACAATATAAAATTTTATATTTAATTCTATATTATTTTTAGTTTTTAACATAGTTATTCATTTTATATTAAGATAATCATATTTGAATTCATATATATCCTAAATACCATTTTAAGATTTTTTCAGTTATCAGTGAATGACCAATTAGCAATTTATCCGCTAAAATGGGCTTGTGAATTTCACAAGTAAATTTCACAAGTAGGCATAATTAACCCACACAACTCATTTACTTTTTGACATAGTATCTTACGAATTAATCAATATACGCAAGCATTATATATTTTTTTTCACCTATTTATGTTAGAGGTCGTGAGTTTGATTCTTACAATTGTTTTTGTTTACTTTAAAGGAAAAAGCAAGATATCCTGACTGCTAGGACCAGGCGGAGTGGGTTGCGGCTGAGGCCGCAGTCCGTTGACACGTAAGCACAAACACCGCCCCCCTACGTGCGGTAGAGGTGCGGTTGAGGCCACACTACGGCTTTCCGAGGGAGTGCTTCTCGGACTAAACCCGCATTTTCAATGTCGGAAAGAAACTCATATTCCTCTAGATCGTATCTCTCAAAAGTTTTTTTCATAAGCTTGGGCAATATTCAACATACGATAAGTTGAATTTCATCTTGTTGGAACATCTCTTACCAAGTGTTTCGTTGTGCCCGGATTAACAAGCTTAGCAAACTTGGTGAATTTGCCAATTCTTGAAGGTGATTGTCTAATCTACTTTACCGCCCATCTAATTATCTCAACCAGCTTCTCAACCTTTTTAATACCATCTTGCACCACCAAGTTTAAAATGTGGGCAACACATCTCATCTGTGTCCATTTCCATTTAAGAGACACTTGTTGGAATTTTGTAAGATTTTTTTAAAAAACTCAATTGTCACGTCATTAGCACTTGCGTTGTCAACAGAAATTGTGAAAACATTTTTTATTCCCCAATCTATTAAACATTTCTCAACCACTAATCTAATATCAACCCCACGATGACTCTCTTGAGGACAAAAACTCTAACACTTTTTTTTTCAATTATCATTCATTGTCTATAAAGTGTGCGGTGAGACACATATAACTTGATTGTTATGTAGAAGTCTGTCACAACTAGTATTTTTGGCTAGGAAATTATGTCTTCGTGTAATCAACTCTTGTGTAACTTGTAATCTAAGTTGATGTTATGTACAAATGCTCATTCCAAAAACAATCATTTGAATCAAAACTCACTCGTGATGTCTAAGACCTAATTCGATACATTTCACTCATTCAACTTTGGGTTTGTAACCCTAATGTCCTTATTCAAACTCAGAATGGACCAGGATCCTCTTTTTGGGCCTAATGGGCCAGTAAACTCTCAATTTGGTTATTTTGGGCCAAGGAACCCTATTTGGGCTCTAGTTGGACCAACATGCATTAAACCATAGCATTTTGGGCCATATTGGGCCTAAAATGTCTCACTTTGTCTACATGAATCATAATGGGCCATAAATATTTTCTTGGGCCGAAAAACCCAATTCCTTTATCATTTTGGGTCGTAAACCCTCATATGGGCCCAATGGGCCGAAAACCTTCATATTGGTCCATATAATTTCGAGTATTATCAAAACTAGCCCAACATATCTATTATTTCCTTCCCTCCCCTCTCATTCTCAGTTTCATATATATATATATATATATATATATATATATATATATATATAAAAGAGGGAAAATAAGAGGATAATTAGGGTGTTGCCACCTAATTATTGTTTAATGGATTTCCAAGCAATTAACCCACATATCTCTAGAAGTAAACCTTCATGTATTAACCAATTAAGTCCTCTCCTCTTCTCTTCTTCTAGTCTCGGCCTAGAGCACCCACAACACACCCATTTTCCACTTCACAATCACT